TCTTTGGTCCTCTTCTTTTTTCATTGTACTTGTTCCCTTTGGACTCTATTCTTAGAAAACACAAAATATCCTGTCACTGCTACACAGATCTATGCCATATTTACTTGCCTTTAGCACCTAATAGTCCAGGCTCCATCCAATTCCTTTTAAACTGTCTTGAAGATGTCAAGGCTTGGATGGCTCTGAACTTGTTGAGCTTGAATGAAAGCAAAACAGATGTAATTATACTTTGGCCTAATAATATCTCATGCAACCCAGTTATTAATTATGGTTGGCTTAGGTCAAACAGCATGTCACAAATCTGGGAGTCATTATGGACTTGGATTTTAAACTGAATAAACAAATCAGTTCTGTGTTGCAGAAAATCTTTTTCCAGTTTAGGCAAATAGCAAAGATTAAACCAGTTTTGTCAAGGCATGACTTGAAGGAAATAATACACGCCTTTATCTCAACTTGGCTTGAATATTGCAATGCACCTTATACTCATGTCTTCAGCTTGTTCAAAATGTTGCTGTCCTGGTACACACAGGCATGAACATATCTATCCTGTCCTCTCTTCATTGGCTTCCTGTTTATCACAGAAATTAATTCTGTGATAAACAGGCTTTTTTTCAGCGGAGTATGAGGGGACTGTTTTACAGCTCCAGCCATTAGAAAGCTAAGAGCATGTGAAAATTCCTCCAGTGGTTCTACTTCCTGTTTTTGTCTTGAAAAGAAAGATACATATGATTTAGTACACCCATACAATTTCTGTAAAATGGTCAGAATCTTTTCTGGATTTTCTTTTTCCTTTTAAAGTCAATACTTAATCTCTTAAGGGTCTCCTTCTAGATGATGATAAATGAAAAGGGCTTGTTCGGCTGGTCGTGCCCTTAAGCCTAAACTTCTTCAACCCACTCAACGATACTTATACAGTCTTACCTCTGAACAATGAGCACTTCCTTTCATGAGGCAGGTAGATCACTCTCTGTTATTGGAACTGAAGCAGACGAATACCTATGAGTAGACAGATTGGTGGAAGCAGTGCTGGTCCCAGGTTGATCAGGTTCTCGCTCTTGTAGCATCTTCCGATTTTCTGCTTGCAGTTGGGTTGGCTCCTCCTCCATAATAAAACAGAGGAGTATTAACTTTCTGGGACCTGGCGTCCACGTATGTGGACATCACATTCTGGGTTATTTAGACCAAAATAATCAATTCTGCTCTACAAGGATCTGATATCCACTTACGAGCAGAGATGCGCGTTACTGTAATCCGATTACTTTTTACTTTTTTCAAGTAACAAATAAAGTAAGGGATTACTATTGCAAAAAAGGTAATTAGATTACTGTTACTTTCCCGTAGGAACACTGAGTTACTGCGTTACTAAAACCGTAAGTTTTTTGCGAGAATGTCTCATGACAATGACGTAAGCGAGTGCGACGTTCGTGACAACAGCTGTGTGCAGATCAACAATGGAAGTACTGACCTTATTTTGAGTTTGATTCCATAAAAAGTGACAAAAACATTAGTGTCCGTTGTGCGTGGGAAGAAAACTTCTTTTTATAACGAATAAAACCCCTAAACTTCAGAGCAAGCACCAAGTGCGCTACAACGTAATGGGAAGTTCACAGAGAAACTCGCAGATTCTTCCACTGATCGCTGCGGCACACCTGCACCAGGGTAAACCTCCGCCTTCCCCACTCCTGCTTTACAGGTGAAAATAGAGCAACAGGACCTCTGAGTCTTTGATTTTATTTATTTTCTGCTGTGTTTTACTTGCATCTATTTGAAAGAGTGAGTGTAAAC